ATGCCTCCACCCTCCTTTTCTAAGCTTTCTGTGTACTTCCCCAGGAGAATCCCTTCAGATTTTCAGTTCTCAATCATTAATCTTGCTAAAGATAATCCTATTTACTGGATAATTTTTCTGTAGAACAGTCTTAAAGCTGCCCTCTCCCATCCAGTTAATGAGCTTTTTTTAAACCATTCTTTGATGGGACCTTAGCTCCCCATAAGCAGATGGTTACACTCTGGCCCTATTCTCATAAGGCAAATGTATGTGTTTCACAGCAAGGAGTCATTTCATAAAAATTCTAGAAAGGGGACAGCAAAGTTGTGGCAGTAACCCTCCCACTGCTGCATCTCTGCCATGGCTGTGGCTGGTCCCCTCCGATACAGAGGCAGGCAGGTGGATGGCATTTGGGGAGTGAGTATCTCACCAATGGCCAGCCCAGGGCAGGGATCAGGGCTTTGTCACTACACTGTCAGCTGCAACCCAGGCCACTGCTGCTGCTTCCTGATCAGCTGCACAGAGAGCAGGGGTAGTGCCAAAGGAAACTCAAGACAATCTGCTGCCTCTTCCTAAAAGTCCTGCCATGGCAGACTGTGTTGGGCCCAAAAGTTGGTTGAGGGAGAGAAGGAAAAAATCAAGGTCGGGATGGCTGCCGCCGATAGCACATGACACCCTGCTTCACAAGACTACAAATACTTCAGACTCAAACATGGGATTTTCCCATCCAATTTCTTACTTAATGATATAACTACAAACCAACTTGAAAGTATAAATGGTCACTTTGATCATTTTAACAGAAATATTTAGCATAAATTAAGAACTACCCATTTCACTAGATGCCAATGGAGCTTCACAAACTTGAAGGAAAAAGGAATCAGAAAGGAAGCACACTTAATTGTTATGCATCTCACACATGATTCTGGGTTGATCGCCAGATTCAGATGTGCTCTGAAACAGGGAATCCTAGAGCTGCACGTTCGTACCAAAGCTAAGAGTGATTTCTGAGATTTGATAACACTGAAAAAAAAACCCAGTAATGATGACAACCATGGAATGAATGTACAGGAGGCAACAGTATCATAACACCAACACCACTACTGAATTTCTAACTCTCGCCTGAGGGATTGAGCCTTTTAAAAACACAGCTAGCTCAGCCTGAAAGCTTCTTCCTAAATGCTTTAGCCAGTTAAACAAACTGGAAACAGACACTGTATTTTCAGCCCTAAACCCCCCTATTCATAACATTCAATTTATTTCATATATGAAGGCACATGTATTACATACGAACAAAAATGCATTTTAAAACTGCTTCTGATTAACAAATAAATGCCATGTGCACACAGATTTAAATTCCGAAGTAAATCAACATGTTATAATAAAACAAAGAGGAAGCAATTTCCTCTTTCACTTTCCTGGTCAAAGGACTGACCCACACTCACATTCAGGACCCTCAATTTTTAGCAATCCTTCGCCCGTTTTTTATGTATTTTTTAAAGTCTATTTCTAGCTTTTTTGTTGTTGCAGAGATTACCTTCAAAATATAAAGAATTGGTTTATATATGGTTGACAGTTGCTTGTGTAATTTTTTTCTAAAAAAAAAAAAAAATCAATGATAGCCATGCTTTTGAATCCCAGAGCCATCAGTTCCTTTTCTTCTTTTTGGGGTGAGAAGATTTTCACCAGTGGTACAAAGAATTCCACAGAATCCTTCCCAGCTGTTCACACCTCATTCGGTTTTTCTGAGCTACCAAAGTGGCCTTCAGCCCCAAGGGCTGGGACAGCTAAGCAGAGGAGCCAGCTCAGCCTGTAGTTACTGGCAAATGAAGTGGGTGATCGGTGGCAAAGGACTAGGAGGAAGCCCTGCTTCCTCTTACTCCCAGATTCAATGGTAGCAGCCACTCTGGAAGTGATGAGGAGGCAATGCAAAAAATAAGGGGAAATGTGGTGGGGACAAGGGAGGGAAAATAAACTTCAGATTCTTGGTAGCATTAGACTCTCCGTTGGTGAAAATGGTGAGAGAAAGGTTGTCAAGAGGCATCATATGCAGAGGCCACAAGGGTAGAGAATATTTAGTGTGAAAACATTGGGGGTGGAGAGGAAGAGGCTGGGCTGTCCTGGATGGACTGTCATTGTGGGAAGGGGACAGAGATTGAAATATGGGAGACTTCAAGGAACTGAGGTGGGAAAGGAGACAAGACATTGGAATACAGATGAGAGCAAAAGGGCGACAGAATAATAGAAGGGAGGATATCAGGGGATGGATGAGAAGGAATTGGGAAAATATAAACAGACAAAACAGAGAAGAGGGAATGGAGATTTTCAAATGAACAGACAAACAGGGAGAAATGAAAGATAGCAATAAAAAAACAGAAAACACTAGTCAGAAATGAGAAAATTATATGAAAATGTACATAATGAATATGGAAAGGGACAAAGAAAAAGCAGGGGATGAAAAAAAGGGAAAGGGGAACAAATGCAAGAAAAAAATCACAAAATGTTAAATTAGCAAATTTTATTGAATCAATTTATGTTCCTTTTTTTTATTTTATCTCTAATTACCTCATATCTGCTGGGGAACATAATGGAGTCAAAACTGTGAACACACATTTCTACTGCTGGCTACTATATATTATCAAAAGTTATTTAACTAGAGAAGAAAATATAATATAACCCCTAAAATCACCAAAATACGTATTAGGCCCCTTGAGTAACAAGGGAGAAGTAGCTTCTAGACTTCCAGCTTAAATGGAGAACTGTCTACTGAAACAATTTTGTTGTGACGCACAGATCTATCCAGGGTTTTTTATACTACTACCAACCTCAAGGCATCCAAGCAAGATAAGATCCATGTTTTCTGAAATAGAGGAGATGGAAGGAGACTTGAAGAATTGCCCCCTTCCTACTCTGTACTAATTTAAATTAATGGAACACCAAAAGTTTGTAGGGGCTTGGAGGAGTCACAGAATCCTCTCCCTGACATTCCCCGAAAAATTAGGCCCACTAAGCGCTGATGGCGCCACCACCATGTGCCTGATTCAGCATTGTTTTAGTGCTAACATCAATATTTGCAGCATACAGAGTATCTCTAATGTTGGTCTTGGCAAGTAACTAACTGATTTTCAAATATATTGCTATAGAGAGCCAAGTTTGCAAACTGGCTTCCAAAATTCCATTCACAAATTTTTGCATACACTTCTGTTTGTGCATTTACAAAATTGGCATTCCACTTCCAAACCCCTCAGAAAAAGCTTTTATTTTTCATAAATAAAGGACTGATACTCCTCAGAAATGTAGTGTATAAGTTTGGGGAAAAATGCAAGAACTCACTCTAATTATAGTAAAGACAAAATATAACAGATCTGATCCTAGCCATATATATTAAAAATACATTTGCCATGTTCTGACATCCTTATTAGACAAGATCTGTGCATAAGCAAATGAAATTTCAGAAGCCCTTTTGAAAACCTGGCATAAAAAGTCATATTACAGGTCAAACAGCACCTTTCAATTTCATCACTTCATGGGGGAAACTGGAGACAGAATTTAGTTTACTTTATATTACTGGTTTGAGAGCTAACAGATATTTAGATTTTGAAAAATATTGCAGGTCATCTCTTAGGGATAGATTCTGGCAGCATTACTATTACATTGGGCTAGTTCCAATGCTCACTCAAAAATGTCATTTAAATAAAAAAAAGTCGCATAATTTGACCTCTTTAGGGAAAAAATGGATTGTATCCTCAGATTAGCTTAATTTTAAATAATTTAAATATTTAAATGTTCAGCATACTTCCATGAAGAGTAAAAATGTATCTTTCATAGAAAAAGCTATTGAAGAAGTTCAGAGAAAAATAATGTCCTTTGCTTGTCTTTCCAAATACCATTAATATTTGATTTATTCTTATTAGACCATCCTCAGGCTGACCCAACAGCTGAAATCCTGAGCCTACTGCAGTCAAAAGAAATTTTGACACTGGGTTCAATGGAGTCAAAATATCACCCTGTTATAAAAGTTATACTATCTGTACCTATAGATGTACATACATATGCACACGTTATATGCCATTTCTTTTCAGTAGAAGGGTGATCTTTATGCATTGTAAAATGTTTTTAAAACAACATGAATTTTCCACAAACCCTTCTTTGGATGATAAAACAAGAGAATCTAAATGAAGTACTTCAGCCTTATCAAAATTAAATGCATCAATTTTTGTCAAATGTCTCCCAATTTGATATGCTCACATGAAATGTTTCAAATTTGTCAGATAAGAATTATCCAAAAGAAATCTGTTGCATCCGAATTAAGAATTAATTATCAGATTTCATTTATAAGTTTGCTATTATTCAATTACTCTCTTGGTCTTAAATTCACTATTCTTATGTCTTGTAATGCTTCTCTTTTCTCAAAAGATAAGGAACTTATCTGCAGAAATGTCACTCACAACACTCACCTTAGGCTTTCAACATCTAGCTGTATGTATTATTAGTGGATCTCTGGCACGATATATACAGAGATTAAAAAGCAAGTAGCTGCCAATTTTCAGAAGCTTCTTGTTCAATGTGGCACAGCACTTTGCCCACACAATTTCAGTTGCAGAATTGTGGACTACATAATAACATTTATATCTTACAAAACATCTTAAAGTAAGGTTCTTAGTAAGTAGCCATATTTAAAAATATATCCAAATACATACTTGGCATATAATATGTCTTTGGAGCAACTACAAATAACTGCCATTTTAAAAAACGTAAACAATATGCTAGAGAAGTCTTTCCCTCCCTCTTGTCCAAATGTATCCTTCTATCACTAACAAATTTATACTACTCCTATTTACTCCTATTCAATGACATATATATTTGACAAATAAAAAATAGTATTTCAAATCCACTAAATACATAAAAATATTTATTATTGGTATTATTGGTATTTTGGTAGCAAATGGAAACTTCAACCAAAATAGGCATCCCATTGTGCTAGGCACTTTACAAATTCAGAATAAAAGACAGTCAATACTTACTGGTTTAGCATTACATCTAGAATGAATGATGACCCAAATGCATCAACCTGGAAGCTGGCTCGGGCAACATGAGTGGACTGCAATGTTAAAAAGATTGAAATAAATTAGCAGTCTGCAACATCAAAATGCACCTCATAGATTTGTGAACATAATACAGAAAAAAATGAAATAGAAGTAGTAAGCCTCAATATGCCATTAAATAGGAAAAATTCTGTTTACAAATATGTTGAAAAATGGAATAGGATTTGTTTTATTCAAGCTATAGAAGTAGCAGGATCATAAACCCAAACAAATAAAAAGAAGCAATATTTCCTTTCATAAACGTCTATCTTTGCAACCCTTTGTCAAATTCAGCATCTCTGTTGGTACGAGTTTTCTATTCAGCATCTACAATTGGGGTGTTATCTCTCTCATGTCACATCACTGTTGATCCACAGAAACTGCAACATTTAGTACCTTTCTTTAGAATTCATATTCTCAACAGAAAAGTAAAACAACCGCAAGCCAGCCTTCCCTGAGTAAATTTAGATTGCACCTGGATTAGGAAGACAAAGCTCTGGAGAATTGCTTGACAGTTGCTAATGTAAAGCATGCTAACTTGATTAGACTGCTTCATCATGGTCTTATCTAAACACTTTCAACTCCCCTTGAAATTATATGGAGGTGGAAGGTACTCAGCACCTTACAGAATCAAACTCTTGATCTTCTGGATCCTTGGAATTTTCTTTCTTGTAAACACATATACAGGAGTGACAGCAGTGTGAAAAATTGCTAAACCATACGGTCAGCTGCATTTATCATGAGACTTTTGGCAGCCTCTCTTACATTCTACCCACTAATCTATGTCTGCCAGAGCAACTTCCAACATTCCAAACCTTTGAGCAACTCCAAAGAGCTGCCATTTTAAAAAAATCTTCTTTGGAGTCTCCTCTCTCCTATCCAAATGTATCCTTCCATCATTAGCAAACAGTACTCCCTATTCGGTCCTATCATAGGACATGTACATGGTCTGATGTCTCTGAACTTGGAGGGCTAGAAATGGGAGACTTTGCCTTACCTATACAAAAGGAAATTTCCCAGATTCTAGCCCTGGAAAGTCCCAAGAAAATTAAACTGCAAAACTGATTTATATTTTAATGAAAAAGCCTTTTCAGGTCACTTTGGAGATGTAAATTTACAGTTGGACTTGTAGTAATGAAAGCAGAGGTATTCAAAGGCCATATAGGCAGAGGATTTAAAATCTTCCTTATATATTTCTGCAAATAAATGCAACATAGAATAGTGCAGAGGTTCGCAAGGATTTACTGGCAGTCAGTTGGGATGGCCTACACAAGTCATTCCAGAGGTGTGGAAGCAAAGACTATCTCAATACTAGAGATGATCCTGGCCAAGGAGAAATTTACAGAAGCTTGAAGTTCAGCCTAATTTATGGCCATCTGGCCATTGATCAAAGGACCCTTTCAGCACCTGGAGATTGCTGCCCTTTCAGCACCTGGATGTTCCAGCCACAACCCCTTTCCCCTTGGGAACATTCCTATAAGGGGTGCTGTGGCCTAGGAACCTATGCCATACCTGTTCCTCCCAGGTATTCCACGTATACAAGTGGAATTGTCACAGAGGTAAGTAAGCCAGCTTTGTAGCTACATTTCAGGAAAACAAAATACTCAGAGCAGACCCAAGAATTAGGCCCAACAGACATTTACATTCCATAAATGGAAATTTAGCCTGTAACATATATCGCTCCATTCTGCAAATCACGTCACTTCCACAAAGGGGTCAACGAGAATAGCACCAAAACAGAAAAGCCCAGGCAGCGACAGTGCATATTGTGTGTACACCAGAAGGTCAAGTGGGAAGGAAAATAGTGAAATACAGGAGAACATGATTTGAAATCCAACTGTCACGTTTGTATAATAAGCTACTGCAACCAGCTCCCAGGCTAGTAAAAGGTTTGAAAAGGAAAAAACATGGAAGGTGGCCCAAATAAAAACAGAGAAAATTCTGGAAAGGCTTTCTAGGGGATGCTCATTATTTCAAGCCATGGAGAGGAAGAAGCCAATCTTCCTGGGGCTTAAGAGCAAGGAAGCTAGGTTAGTCTGTTCAGCTGGGTCGCCAACAGCCACTGTGGCCCCTGGGTAAAGTGTGGGAGGGAGGGCACACCACCAGAAGGGTGGGGCTTTTGGCAGAAGTGGCAGGGCCTGTGCAGTCAGCCCTGAATGCCACCAAGAATACACTGTGCCAACCCCAAGGCAGACCTCAGTGCTGCCCGGACCATGGCATTCCCTCCTTTAACCCCACCCCTCAGCCGCCCTTAGCGCTGCCTGGAGTGTACAGCATGGGGCTCCAGCAGTGATTTAAAGGGCCCAGGGCTGCGGTCATTTCTGCTGCCACAACAGCAGCCAGAATCCCAGACCCCTTTGAATCGCTAGGCCCCAGGGCAAATGCCCTCTTTTCTCCTTCTTCACCCTCCCCTCCCCCATCAGTGGTCGTGCTATTTAGGAGCTCCCAAGGCCCAGCCTCTTTTGTAGAGAAAAGCTCTCCTCACTGCTGTGAGTTGCTAATGATACCATCAGCACTGAGAACAAAAACTCACGCTGGCTGTTGTCCTCAGAAGTGAAGAAACAGGAGCTCCTCCAGTGGTAGTATGGGAACAACAGAAAGGGAAGCTAGCTGCAGGAAGAGGAGAGGACCAGAAAAGATTCCTGAAGGATTAAGGAGGGATGCAGGCTCTGTAGCCTTGTCTGTTCCTTGACTTTGGAACACAGGGAGACATTACATCTGGTAGAGCTCACAGAACTAGGACTTTTTTCCTGTCTTTTCTTGTCTACTTCTCTTGAAGCACTGAACTACTCCCAAGTTTCTTGTGCTACTTGCAGCCACCATGAGCTACCAGAGTCAAGTTCTCACAGGCAACCCCTTATCCTTTCCATGTTTGGAAATTTATAGCGAAGATACACAGACCATCAGTTTCCCTGGTGGAATAGGAAAACAATAGTAAGTACAGGGAATTACATCCTTTTTGTTAGCAGTGTTATTTTTTAAAGTACACTGCATGCTTATTTTGTTGAAGTGACTGGGGTTCCCCAATGATATAGACCACAAATATAATTTTTTTAGGGTTAGCAGATAAGAAGTATTGCTGAATCCACTGGAAGTTTGAGAGAATTCAGATTGCACCTTCTCTTCAAAATGGTCCAGTTTTGGTAATGGAGCTGCAAAGGTGCCTCTTTTTATACATACAATTCACATCCAGGTCAAAAGACACAGATCATTATGATCATAACACAGGGAACAGAATTTCATGAGGTGATTCCTATAACAAGCTTATTATTTCTCATAGAGCTAGAGTGGATATTTTAGAAAGACATGTAATCTTGATGTAAAGACTTCAAATGACAGAGGATCCATCCCACCCCCGGATAAATTGTTCCAATGGTTAATTACCCTGAGTGTTAAAAACGTATAGCTTATTTTGAGTCTGAAATTTGTCTAGTTATGAGAATCTAAGCATTGATGCATAATTTTTACATGCACATACACTTCTATACATTACGTACAAATGTATAATATATAAGGTACATACTTTTCATATTATGACTTATTTATCACGTTGCAACCTTAAAAAAGAAACTGTGATGTACTATATTTTTATAATAATCTTTTTCATGTAAAATGAGTCAATATCAGGAGCGTGGGAGCTCTTCTGAAACTTTAAAATTATAGGGTTTTCAGGATATTTGGAATTATTTTGAAGCATTCACTGACTCTTCCTACAGCAAAATTGTTCTACCCCCCCTTAATTATGCAATAGAACAGAAGTGGTGATATCATTTTGAGGTAAATTTCATGTGCACATACGCTCCATTTTCCAGTGCCATGCACTAGAGATACTACTGATGCCTTGCTGTAGTCCCCAGTTTGCATGTTATGTTCAACCCAAGATTTCATCAAGAATTAGTCCTCAAGAATTATACGATTGAAGCACATGAAGTTTAGAGAAGACTAGATTTGGAACCATGTCCATTGCTTGTTTGCCACAGCAGTTACTAGCAGCCCCCAGATTATAAAATTTGTCTTTATCAAATCAACACGTTTGCATTCCTTTCTTCAGTTCTCAGGCATTAGTGCATGCTTCTGATTTAGGTTTCAAATACTTTCTTCTGTAACTGGATTTTGTGACTTTTTTTCCTTAGTTCCTCCATCAGAAAATGGTGGTCCAAGAACCTCCTATTTATATGCTAGAAGCCAAAAAATGTTCATTTTCTGTTGATCACCTTTCACTTCAGCAAATCAGCCAGTCTTTTTTACCAGCTTACACACATGTAACTGCTGTGCAAAGATCTTTCTTTACTATATTATTAAATTCAAAGAGAATTTTAGAACATTTTAAATTCTTAATAATGGGCAGACTTTCACAATCATTAGGATCTGTGCATGTGACATAACTTGTTATTCCATATGTCACTAGACAATAACTTCACCTGTGGCTAATTTCATAGTAATGGAAGTGAAACTATAAGTGTGTCAGGACTTTTTTCTTTTGTAACTATTAGATACTAAAAGACTTACTTGGTATTGCCCAGGGCCGAAGGCAGCCCGGGGCAGCAGGGGTGGGGGCAGCATAGGTCACCTGGTGGCTTCTCCCCAGGGCTGAGCCTGCCAAATGGCTTCTCCTGGCCTGGGGGCAGAGAAGGGAAGCACTAACTGCCTGGCAGCACTCTCCGAGGCCGGCCCAGTGGTATCAGCAGGGGCTGCGAAGGCCACCCAGTGGTGCTCTCTGGTGCTGGCTCAGGGCAGCAGGGCCACATGGTTGCTGGCAGCTGCTCCCCAGGGTAGGCCAGGATGGCAGGGGATGTTCTGTTTGGCTAGCGGCTGCTCTGCAGATGCGGGGCACTAGCTGCCTCCCTGTGGTCATTTGTGAGTATAACTGTCCCCCATGCTTGCTGCCCCCCTGTGGTCATTTGTGAGTACCACTGTCCCTGCTATCACACCGCTCCCTTTCCATTTGATAGAAACAATCACATTCCACCCAGGTCCCATTGTCCTGGCACAACCAAACCCTGGCCTTGCCTTATGATAAGA